CCCCCTCCCCCTCTCCCACCTGCCAACACGCATGCCTTTCACAAGTTTCTCTGTGGATTTAGGCTCCTCTCAGTGAGCGCACTTCAACCCCATCTTCAAAAAGAAAATAAAAAAAATTCTGGGACGTTTTTTGGCTCGTCTGGTTTTGCCAGACGGACCCCCCCCAGTCCGTCTGGCCCAGTCCGTTAGGCCTGGCCAGTCTGGACCGGGCGTCGGCCTAACCCAGAGAAAAACTCGTTTGTAAGGCGGAATGCACCCCAGGGGTGCACTGACAAGCACGATATCCTCAATGGACAGTCTGGGGTTTTGAGATTCTGCACATTAAGCTTCCAGTAGTCCAGGGTTGGAATTCATATTTTGGCACTGTGGTACTGGAGCCTTATTGGGTTGTTTCAACTGTGTTTGTGTCAAGAGGTCTGTCTGTGTGGACCATCCTACACAATTCAGATTGCCACATAAGATGGACGGAATGGCCCTGTTTGATGGTTCTTACGTCTCATTCAACCATCACAAAACAGAGACAAGAATGTGTGAATCTCCAATCTATAGACGGTAACCCGATATGGTCCAACAAGGACAAGAATGAGTGTCACTGTGTTTCCGTTTAATATGGACAACAAGAATACCTGTCTTTCCATTTTGCTTGCCTTGTAAGAAACACGGGCCTTCATATGTTTGGTTCAACACGATTCCCAATGTATCAGTTCAGTGCTCATCTGTGTGTACCATTCAGCCCAACAGTGATGCAAACAACCATACACACATAGCAGGTTTTGTTTTCTTGTGTTTATTGTATGAATAACGAGCTGACAAACCTTCTCTACACCTTTAACAACAAAATAGCCTCCTGGATCAAGTGGGCATTCCCCTGCAAAAACAGTTACAAACACACATTTCTTTGTCAGTAAACGCCTGGAAGTGCACTACTCAGTGCTCACATAGTGACAATATTGCATGCAAATTGAAAACACACAGAGAAAAAGGGAAAAAAAAGGAACAGCTGAATGACTGTGATATACATGGAATAGGAATAGGCAAGGGCTCCACTAGGCCAAGAGGCTTCTCCCCTAAGATTGTGATCCTTCGGCAGACCCGACAGCATTCAAGATACCTTATAGGTCAGATTTCATACCAAGCAAGTAGAATCTCTGGAGTATTGGTGTAGGTCTTCATGGACCACTCATACCGTACCATGGATCTGATCGGTTGAGAGGCTGGAATGCAGACACGAAGAAAAGTACACCTGTCAATGAGTGTGACAGCTTAGCCTGACTGTTCACCCATTGCAGCGTCTGGTCAGCAGGGTGAGTTATCTTAAACCACCAGTACACGGCCCCAGGGCCCCAGCCAAGTTGAGAATCCGATTGAGCCTCTCCTAAAGTTCTGGAGGCTCGCGTGCGGTTGATAAAATACATCGGCGGGCAGCCTCCGAAAGGGGCCTGCGGCCGATGGCAGGCATGTACTGGTCCTTTTAAGCATCGGATATATAATTGATGCTTTCTTCAAGGCCTTCAAAGCAGGGGGCAGGCAAAAAAAGCCTGCTTCTTGAGTAAATTCCCGAGTGGTAGTATGACCAAGGAGGATTGCCTATTGCACGCTGTTTTGGTTCAGCCTCAGCAGTTGAGCCCAGCAGAACCCAACTACACTCCCACCACATGCATCACGCCACCGCACACAACCGATGTCGGGGCAGAGACCCTGACAAGGGTATCTGCCCGGTGTTTTTAGATGTCAGACGATGTCCGCTTAGTAAAGGGTTATCCGGGCTTCATAACTTGATGAGATGGGTTATCTGTCGAAAGTATATTCAGACCTAACCTATGACTGAGAAGACTAAAGGTTTTTGAACTTTATTCCGGACGCTTGTGGAGTCCGAGATTAAAGGAAGTAACTGGCAGTGCTTCGCTTTTGTTGAGGCCACAGAAGCGCGCGAACATGAGAATGTCAAAGTTAAACCTATCCTACTTAAAATAAGTCACGCAGCTGCTAAGTCGTGCGATTTAGGGTCAAATCAGGCTAAAAGGAATAACCGCGCTAGGAAAATGGAACCGTGGCGCGGAGAGAATGGGGTGGATATACTTTCGACAGAGGCCTCGGGGTTCGATTCCGCACCAAGCGTTGGGGTGTCGGACACTTCAACTTGGCGGATGGAGTCCCTGCCCAAGCCGTAGGCAGACACCTGGTGGGGAATAGAGGTGGTCATCGTTCAGTGGAACAGTCGTAAGTTGTGGAGTTGTGAGCTGCATATTTTCAGCTTTAACGACGATCGACTTTTTAAATTTGATTGGAATACTACTCGGCTTTCTTGAGTGAGCCGGATCAAACTTCACTCAAGGTCAGCCAGTTGATTGACTCAGATTTCTCTTCACACTTGTGTGAACCCACACTTTGCTTGACCCTGTTTATTTTGCACGTTCAAAAGAAAAGGTGGAGGAAAGTTGTGTGAGTCATGCATGTGAATGGAAAGGTCTGACTTGAGTATAAAATTGTACTAGTTTCTTTTGAAATTATTTTATTTGCGTGATGTGCAGGTAGGTAGAAGGATGCTTGCAAAGGAGATTGATTATGCCTATTGGAGAAAAGGGAAAAAAATCGTTCTTAACTTCTCACCTGCCTGCATGCCAAAAGGGATTCGATGTTTTGAAAAACTACAATTTTGTGTGCACCATAAAAATGAATTGAATTGAAATAAAGCAGATAAGGTCACACGGATTTAACTTTCTCCCCATGATTGACTTTTTCTATCCCGAATGACCTTATCTACCTATACCTGTTCAAATGATTCTCGTTATCTATCTCCTTCAGTTTCTTTTTCGTTTAAGTTACCCAAAACTTAGGAGAAATTGGAATAAAAGAAACCTACTCGTGGGGAACACAGTCTCTCTCTCCAGGAAGCATCCAAGGCAGGGGTTCGTATGCTTCCGGAGCCGGCCCTGTTATCGACTTGGAGTGAATCCGATTCGTTGGGGGTGGTACTCTACTAACTCGGTGGTGACGGCCCAACCTCTGAGATCCGGGTCTTCAGGCTCGGGCGACAGGAAGGAGTATCCATAGACCACTTCCTAGAGAGATGGTACGTGACGACACAATGTGGGCCAACCCTTGTCGAGTCCTGGGCGACGTGGGGATTAAAATTATGTCCTTGCAGGTGGTCACTTTATGCCATGGTGACCGCGGACCCGGACACCGGACACTTCCGGACTGTTTCCCAGACCTGTGTCTGGACCAGTCCGAACTGTCCGGTGTTCCGAACATCACCGGACACCGGATGTCACCGAACACCGGACTGTCCGGACTGTGTTGGCAGGGACAAGATGTCCGGGGAAAAAAAAAGAAAAAAAAGGTGGGGAGGGAGATCACCTGGTTCGCACTTCGTGCCCCCTATTTGTCGAACATCAACAATCAATCAATCAATCTCCACGAACATCCTATCCCCCATCTTTCCCTCTTCCCCCCTATTTCCCCGAGCCTCCCCAGCAGCCTGCGGACACCGGATGCCACCGGACACCGGACTGTCCGGAATGTGTTGGCAGGGACAAGATGTCCGGGGAAAAAAAAAAAAAAAAAA